ACTTGATCCCTGTGTCTGTCGCTAGTAATCTCTGTTCGGTAGCGTTAGGCCATTCGGTCTTTTCCTTTTGCCTTGTCATAGGTCTAGGTCCCCTTTTCCCCCTGTTTCCATCTAGATACAGATGAGTCTTGGGTTGTTGCCTTTGGAGTCCGTCGTAGGTCTGCGCAGAGGGTAGAAGTAGCGGGCAGGAACTTTGGTTGAGGTCTTTTCACGTTTTTGTTGGCAGTGGAAACTCTGCCCGTCCGTTGCTGGAGAGCTGCCGCTCTATTTTGGGCGAGATCTTCTTCCTCGAAGCCCAGCCATAGCTGGGGTTGGGAAACGAAGTTGAAGATCGCACTGCTGTTATTTCACGGCTCTACATGACTGTGTTGTTGGGTTTGGGTGCTGCCATCTTCCACTTGGCAGCCATATCTGCTGTTCCTCCTCTCGAGGAACTTCGTCTTCTTCGAAGTGCTGGATCCGTTGTCTCCTCCTTCATCAGGACTTCCAGCGCTGCACTTCCCTGCGGGTGCTGAGCTGGCGCTGTTATGATTAGGGTTGTTGGTTCAGATTGGCACATTGTGACAGCTGTGGGGTTACTGCTGCTACGGCAGCCATAGCCAGGGGTATGAGGTGGCGAGGAGGAAGAAGAAGACCCCTGCGTACTTCGCTGAATACTTGTTTCTGGTTGTTCGGGGTTGTTGTAAACGCGGTTGTGATTCTTGGAACACGTCTTCTGGATTGATTGGAGGAGGATGAGGGATTGCAGAATTTGAAATGCGTTTTTCAATTCTCTGTGTATTTTGAGCTTCCGCTGTGCATATCTTCTCTCCGGTTTTGTGTGGATTTGCGTCCTTCGAGTCTACTCTGCAATTGCATGCGTGTATGGGAACGTGTGAATTCATTGTGGATTGAAGTTCAATCGGTACATAAGAGCTGATGTGGCAGGAGGATGAACTGTATTGCTGACGTGGCGAGTTGGGGGGAAATGCCCGAAGAGGAAGGGGGCTTGAGAGGGATTCTGCTTCGTTGATTCGTGTGGAAACTCTCCTCCTCCTCCTCTCAGTCTCACCTCCCCCTCTCCTCATTCTCTTCTCTGGGTTTGAGACATTGCGAGGCTACATGTATGACGAGCATTGATTCATGAACGATTTTTGGAGACATTGATGCCGCGCTGAGTCAGACTTGTATCACGACATTTGTGAGCTTCTCATCTGTCTGGGTTCATTACAATCTTTTCTTCTTTATTTATTTTTTTCAAAGAAGAAGGGGGAAAGATAATGGCTCGATAATATACTTGCGACGCATTGAGGTGTGCGCCGCAGTGCACGTCTGGCGCACCTCGCGCGCACGTCTGGCGCACCTCGCTCACTGCACCCGATGCGGCGCCAAAATAAAAATAAAAAAGGTGCCGCCCCCCCCAAAAAAAAGGTGCAAGGGGTCATGGAAGACCCTACCCTGAGGAGGGGAACACCCTCCCGTAAGACCCTACCCTGAGGAGGGGAACGCGCTCCCGTAAAACCCTACCCTGAGGAGGGGAACACCCTCCCGTAAGACCCTACCCTGAGGAGGGGAACACCCTCCCGTTCTCTCTCTCTCTCTCTCTCTCTCTCTCTCTCTCTCTCTCTC